TAAAAAGGGAAATTTACTCTCAAGAATTTATTCTTAATTATTGAATTTATTCAAGCCTTGTGATTGGCCAAATACTTATGGTTTCTATGAATCAAAGAACAATGTTGAATTTTAGTTACGTTTCACATTTCGATTTATAATAATTACGGGATAAGAACTCATACAATTTTACCATTCTAAAGCTCTATTCTTCTTTATTATAAAACTGCCTGAAAAGGAAAAAAAGCTAATACTATCAAAACTTCAGATGAAATAAAAATAAATAACAGAAAATAGTACGTGACGCGTTTATGTCTTTTGTACCACTCGCCTATTCACTCAGTGCGTGCCTTAAAATTTCGAAGTCTAACGAATTCACAAACAGTACTATGAGGTCTCACAGTGCGCGTGGACGCACAGGGTCACACAAAAACCAATCACAGAGCTCTATTCAACGCTGTGCGTTCGATTTGCTGCAAGCATCGTTTGTGAATACGGGTGTCAGATTCACTCTCGAGTTATCCTCCATCGTTTCTATCAGACACAAACCATCTTTTATATTTTCTGAATTTTATGACTCCACATAGTGGCTTCAACCAAAATTCGTTTTCAATATAATATTATCTTACACAAACCATATATTCTCTTTAACACCATAAATGTCACAATGGAAGCCACAGAGCGTTGCTGTTGCGTTAAAAAAAGAATTTTCCGAGTCGTGACGTCCCTAGTCCTAGCGAGAGCAGGGATGGCGAACCAATGGCACACGTGCCATTGGTGGCACGATCCAAAATAGGCTAGTTTCCTAAAATAACGTAGAGTTTGTCAATTGTATTATCAAAAAATATTGGACACGTATTTTTATTTTCAATCGAACAAGTAATTACGAAGTTATGGTGCGTTGAAGTTCAGTGTGACGTCACGGCAAGCACTCCTTGACGTCACGGAATTCGTCTCGTGAACATTGTCGCGCTTTATCTCTTTCAATTTTTATTAATTTGAAAAATACGTGTCGAGCTTTTAGAAAGTTATCTGATGGACTAATTCAAACTTGTGCTTTTTTACCAAGAAAACATTGCTATATTTAGGGCATGCAACGAATCACAAAATTCATTATTAAATAAAATAGTAGATAATGTGTTTTGAGTTAGGGCTATTGTATTTGTCCTCATCACTTGGTGCCACTGTAAAATCCGTCACTCGTCAGTGGCGCCACTTGTATGATATTCCTCATTGACGTGGAATTGTGTATAAAGCATTCGTAATCATTTGACAGTTCATTACGTACGATTAAGTCAGTTAACAAAGCGTTTGATAGAATAATCGTACGTTATGAACTGTCAAATGATAACGATTGATTTACACAATTCCACCTCAGGTTTAGGTGTTATTTGATGGCACGTCTATGACTACATCAAACATTTTTTTAGAAAAGTGGCACGTCGATACATAAAGGTTCGCCATCCCTGGTCTAGAGGACAGTGCCCCCCACGAAACGCATTATGAACTACACCTCCTTTTACGAACCTTATATCAATCAATTACAGTCCTATTTCGCTTGTTCTATGTCCCATGAAAAGGACGTCCACGTTTTCGCATTCCACTTTACAGTAGAGTGAATTCACACTGTATTGTGTTTGGATAGAGTAGCTTTTCGAGTGAGGTATTTGAAATAAGTTTGCTAGTTGGGTACCCCGCTGCGTTACCAAGGGTTGGCGAATAAAAAATAAAGGAGTTTGAGCGAAGGTTGCTTAGGTTTTGAGTTTTTTCTACGTTTTTCAGTTAATAATCGTCGGAATTGATGATTGGAATTTAATTTCATCTCACGTACGCTCGTAGACTTTTTAATTATTTTTCGAACTTCATTAGAGAGTTGTGATTTATGTTTGTAGTCAAAGGAAAAGGGTTCAACACGTATGTTAACTATAGGCAGGTATTTGGCAACCTAGCCCAATTCTTAAGCCCGGTTAGGCGGGCAATATTTATTAATATATTTTTAAACCGGTAGACAGTGGTGACTGAGTTTGTTGCGGAGCTTCTTCTCAGCACTTGCCAAAATATGTTTGTCTCGAAGCGCTGAGAGAGCAAAAAAGAATGAGACATGTATAGACTGCATAAGAGCATTTGACGATTTATTATGTACTAATTTAATTAGTCTATACAAATAAAGATTTTAAATCTTGTATAATTAATAAATCTTAAACAACTAAATGTTAACAAATAACTACTTAACTAAAGATAATTTTGATTTTGATTTGATTTTTTGATTTTGAAGAATGGGTTAGTCGATAGCATATCAGGTTGTTATGAAAACATAGGTTACAGGCCTACCTTCTTCTATAAATCAATCACCGAATAGGCACACAGCAATCTTGAAAACGAATAAAAGCGAATAAAATTAACACTGCGAATGTCTGTCTGTACCCATAGTAAATTGAGTTTTTTTCATGGCCATAAATGATTTTTTTTTATATATTGTCTCATAAAACATACGTTTAGTGTCTCATAAAAGTTACGTAATATACTATGCCAGTCAATCTCTGTATAAGTTAATCATTATCTTTTTTAATTTCGATCGAATTCCATTCGAGTTCCAATCGAGTTCCAGCGGTACCGATTTCGCTTTTCGTTTTGCATTGTCCGTCCACTCGTGATGGAGTTGATTAATCGTTATCACTCCCATAATAAAGGCTTGTACGATTCCTATTTTTATTTTGTAATTAACATGCTCGTCTATGACCACGTTCAATATGGGAATGTTATTACTTTGCCCTTTTTTAAACGCCTTGATTCATTGCGCTCTTTTATGGGGTGCTTTGGTTTTATGATGCACTTATCGGCTGAAATTGGCTAGATGGAGGCTTTCAATTTAATTATTATTTTAGAAGGAATGGAGATCAGAATAGTGATAAAGATCTGATTGTTACTTTAAATACTTCGGGGTGTGAAATTGCTCTCGTATTTTGACTTAGAAAATCTTTGGATAGTTGGTGAATGATTAAAATAAGAATATGACTAAACCCTTATGACATGTATGATGGCCTTTATGATATTCTAAGGAAAGAAGAATTTATGGAGTAGGCGTAAATAATCATGAAATACAGTTTGAAAATAAAACATCTTTTGCTATTGCTTGCAGAAATTCTTAATCGTATAATTCTTAACAATATTTAGTCGTAATATTCGCGTAATAGTCGGAATGAGAACTGTCATTTTTTGAAGTCAGGTAAAAACAGCCAGTCAAACCGTAATAACCGCAAACTCTACCTCGTGAAAAAGTGCTCGGGTTTCAATTTAAGTTTTCTCACTCAAATCGACTTACAATCGAGTTCTACAGGTACCGCTTCGATAGTTTTTCGTTTTGCATCGTCTTCAGCTCGTGATGGACTTGATTAATCGATATTACGCCGTAATAAAGCACTGCCTGTGCAAGCGCAGCTAAGATTGGTGGCCTAGGTTTTGGCGTTAGCGATTTGTCTATGCCTTTTCTAAGTCTGGATTTGTTTTTGGTTTTCGAAACTCTTGTAAAACCTCTTTTGTAAAAGACGCTTTCGAAGGCGTTGAAGGAGCTCTTAGAGTTTTTAGAAAGTGATTTTAATATTATTTCTTTAATAAAATTTAAAATTTTGAAAAATCTACACTTTATTATAATTTTAAAAAATCTACACTTTATTTTGTACTTTACAAATTTTCCTGTAATCCATAAAATCCCGTAGATTATCTAATAGAGTTCACTTAAAGCCTCATTTCATTATTAACTCTACATAATATGTGCCTTATTTATGTCAAATTTTTCTTTAAAATTATTTAAAAATCTACGTTAGTCAATAAACTAAAATTAATAATATTTTCTTGTGTACGATTTTGAATTTCTACCCGCTTTGAGCTCTCTCCTTAGGCCCACCGAAGACGATTCATTACGCTCCCCGACTATAAAATCAAATCAACCTTCTGTTCTGCAAGCCCGGACCATTGAGCTGATGTTTGGCAGTTTAATGTATCGTATGCAAAGCCTTTCAAGTATACTAATAGACGAGCTGTTCTGAATAATTGTCACAACGCGGGAGTGCTTGAAACGTGAAATAAATTATAATAATAATCATCAAGTCATTTAGTTCCCACCCTCTAATTCTACGCGCTGGCTGGATTGGGGTTGGGGAGGCCTGAATGCCTGATGTTCGCTTATTTCTTAAGTAGTTTCTCTCTTACGACACCTACGGGAAGAGTGAGTAGTCCCATCTTACCTATTAAATTCTAATCACATAAAATAAATAGCTGTAAGTCGAATTTTGATAAGTATTTATAAAGCGAGCAATAAAACTTAGTACAATAGTAGGCCATCACAAAAGTACCTGAATGTCTTTATTGTATGTTAATTCAATACCAAGTATGAATGATGCTAATGATTTTACTCAAGGTCAGTCCCCTTAACGATGTCTTACATACAAACTTACTTCTGTCTAGCCTATCAAACTCTAAGTGGTATGTGACCGCGATAATTCTATTTGATTCTATTATGTCTCGATTCGTAGGCACTTGAAGGGCTAGGGGGCTGCTTATTATCACCGGAGAATAAAGCGACAAAAACTTTAAAATTACCAAGTTAAAATTAATTATTACATTAATTAATTTTAACTTGGTAATTTTAAACCCTGCCTAAACTGTTTCGCTCCAAAAAGTAAGTTCTCTACAGGGTGTTAGGTAAATGGGTATATGAGCCGACACTAGCCCATGTTAACATGGTCATATAAATGATATTATGATGAAGTCAGAATATTGATATCTTCTATTTAATTATTTTATTTTTCATACAAATCGGATTTAGTAAAATTTATTTTGTATGAAAATTAAAAAAAATAAAATGATGATATCAAATTACTGACTTCACCATACCATTTATATGTCCATGTTAACATGGGCTAGTGTCGGCTTATATACCCATTTACCTAACAGCCTGTATATCGCTCGCATCTTTCAAAGTTTAACGCGTAAGTGTATAGCGTTAAAACAAATCTACTCACATTCCCCTGCGGGTCGATGAGCTGGGCGTACTTGGGCGCTTTCGCCTTGCTGCCGTCTGCGAAGACTCCCGCCAGTCGGAGCGGCGTCCCCGGCCGCGCTGCTGCCCGCTCGTACTGCGCGCCCACTCGCCCGCTCTCTGGAGGATAAAGTATAAAGAATAAATGATACTGTTAGTTTGTAAAAGTTAGTTCTGATATTGGCTAAGAGATGGCGCTATCTCATTTTACTCGTACCGCGCGCCCGCGCCCACGTGTAGGACAAAGGTTGAGATTGTGAGCCTTAGTTCTAATATTGGTCAAGAGATGGCACTATCTTAAGTGTACGGTACTGATTGATGGTGGGTAAGATTTTTCAATGTTGCGTTTCATTCCGCGGTATCGAGGGTTTCTTCTCGATTCATTAATTTCTACCAAAAGAAGTCCTCTGCTGGACAAAGGCCTCCCCTAAGGATTTCCATTGGTCCGGCGCTGCCCGTACCGCCAGGTCTTCTTGTAACTTTTGGTAGGGGTAGCTAGCTGTGTCACTGTAAAATTATCTTTATTTGCATTGACAAAGGCGTCTATATTAGCTAAACTGGGACTCACCCGACGCAGGTCTCGCTCGGTACGCAGAGATTGCTCGCGGCGACACGAGCGCGAACGCTCGCGCTCGCAGCAACGCAGCCACCGACCCGCGCGGCGCCGCCAACGCACCCCCTCGGCATCCACATGACGAAAACCACCCTGAAAAAGATACATAAAATTAATAATCATCTAAAATTATGAGAACCTAACCTACCTAAAATAAATTTTACTCAACTCTCCATTTTACATGTAATTTACGTTTGTACGACGTACAGGGTGACACACGAAATGCTTGACGATGCCTTAGGACGATGCTTGCTTAAGTGAAGCAGAAAATCGAACGCGCAGCGTTGAATTCTGTGTGATTGGTTCATGTATCATGTGTCACTCTGTGCGTCCACGCGCACTATGAGACCTCATAGTAATGTTTGTGAATACGGGCGACAGAGCTCTAATTCAACGCTGTGCGTTCTATTTGCTGCATTGTTTGTGAATACGTACATTAGTCTCCACTCAGGAGCACACACCCTCTCTGATTTACCAAAAGAAAATGGAAGATTTGACCTACATTTCCTACACTGACCAGGTGGGTTGGGGAGGCCTGATATTCCCTTATACTATTCTAATAAAAGACCAAACCAAATTACGATCTTACACAAGAAGTATTATCTTAATAAAGTCATAAATTCAGCTATTGGTAGCCAGTTTCGGACACTTGTTGAAACATAACTAAAGAACAAGTTGCGTAAGACCTATAAACTAGAAACAAAGTAGCATGGTCTTTTATTGCAGACTTTGGGATAAGCTAGGAATTCTAATTTCACTTAAGAGCCCTAGTACACATTCTTTATATCGATATTGTTGTAACTTAGTTATGTTGCGTAGTAAATTAGTAACCTCTGGTACCTATTTATAAATGCTTTTTTTTAAAGCTTACTTGCAAAAATAAAATGAGTTTTGTGAGTTTTTATGAGTTTTATGCTTTTTTTTTGTTACCACAGCCGCGTAGTACGGATGTACAGTATAGAGTGTGCCATATAGGTACATTTTGTTACAAAATAACACATGTTAAAATCGAAAAATAAGATTTCACAGTGGTTACACCGTCGTCTGTACATTGCATATCAGCAAGATAACGTAAAAAACCCTGAAAAAAAACCTAAAAATAAAAATATTTGTACCTACTAAAAATAAGTTTTCTTTGTCTTCACACAAAACGGCATTTTTTTTTATTTTGGTAGGTTCAAAGACAAATAATATTAAATGTGCTCGTGCCCTTAATCAGGCTGTTTGCTAGAAGCCTGACAATGGGTGGACCGACGAATTTACTAGGGCAATAAAACTCGGAGCAGTAAACAAGTGAGACGTTAGTTGGACCGGCTGTCGCTATCTTATCGCTGCCTCGGTCTGGTCTAATAAAATGTGAACATAATTTCTAAGGTTCGATTCCTAGGTGTGTCACAAGAGGTTTTAAAATAGAGAAACATGGGTCTCAATATCAACGCAGCATTTTTCTAAATGAGTTACTTACGCCCGTATTCACTAACATTACTATGAGGTCTCACAGTGCGCGTGGACGCACAGTGTCACACACGAACCAATCACAGAGCTCTATTCAACGCTGTGCGTTCGATTTGCTGATTCACTTAAACAGGCACCGTTTGTGAATACGGGTGTTAATGTAGGACTCACAGCTTGATGTTTCACAACGTGGTCACAAGTAGATTTTGAGATTCTGTTTTATCTCCTATTTTGAGGTATACCTTGAAGCGCACCCATTGTGAGGCGCACCTAAATTCCTCGAAGTGCACCTAGTTTTAATAATATAAAGATTTTGAACTTTATGTCTAGTGTCTACTAAGATGAATAAAAAATACCAGGGCAACATAACATCCACCTAAACTATTCCTCAAAGCGCACCTACTTAATTTTACTTAAACTTGTAAGATGAATAAAAAGTACCAGGGCATTTATTGACCATAGGTGCGCTTCGAGGAATAGTTTAGGTGCGCCTCAAAATGGGTGCGCTTCGAGGAATTCCTCTCTATTTGGTGTCTAAAAACAAAAGAGCATCCAAATCATTAAGGGTCAGAGTGCAAGTCAATTTAAATAATCAAAGGCAAGATAATTGGGACAGAAAATTGGCTTCCTGGGAAAGTATTTCCCAATAATAAAGTCTTTTTAAACCAATTGCATTCCGTTCGCAGGTCAGGAGATTAACGAGGCGCGACTTAGCGATGAAATGTACCATATTGTATGAAAAACCTTTATTGTAACAATAAAGCTTGTTTGGGAAATGATGAAAATATTTTTTATGTAAGACTTTTTTTAAGTCGGTAGTCTAGTTCTTATTTAAGGATAATAGAGATAGCCAAGATATCAGAAAAAGCCATAGAAAAATCCTTTTCCTAAGTTTCTAAATCTGAACACTTCTTATTTGCACATAACGTCATCTATTATCTAGTAATGTGTACTTATCACGACTGACTCTCACTCATTACGAAATCTCAGAAACTACAAGTACTCGTACTTCTTTTTTGCATGGGGGTTCCTTTAAGAACGTAGGTGCCCAACAAAAGAACGGATTTTACGAAACTCCACCCCTAAGGGAGTAAAACGGGATCCACGCGTAGGTACGAAGTCGCGGGCGGCCGCTAGTTATAGTATAAAAACCTTGTTAAACTTGCAATATATGTGATTTTTTAGTTAAACAACCCTAAAAATAATACCCTGCGTAACGTATTCTACCCTAGCCCTCCGCCATTGTTGCAAGTGATCATTTTAACGTCAGTGAACCTATTACCGAGACCTTAAAGGACGTTTAACGGCGCCTTAATTAAAGGTTAGGTCGTCCAGTTAACCCTGGCTTTTTACGAGATTCCACGAAGAGGCGTTTTCCTGCGGTAGGGTTAGTGAGAACCTTTTTTCCAATATTATCGTATAACATCAGTACATTTTTTCCATCCTTCTTCAGCTTAGTTAGAAATTCCGCAATTTTTTGCCACAGATCTGAACATCAGTAATACATCAGCCCATTGCACTTTTTCCATCCTCCTTCAGCTTTGAAATCCCGCCATTTTTTTACCACAGTTAGTTAGTAAAGGACGTGCTGGCCAATGTCCATTTCCCAAAGCTGTAGAGTTGGAATGACAGGTGTCAATACTTGCAGCACTTCGCGCGTTTTTTTAATAGGCGCTATTTTGCTGGATCATAAAATAGAAAAAACTGTTTCTTTATAGATTCTTACGCAGTTTTTTAAATAGACACCGATTGAGAAGCAAGTGCGTGTAATTTTATATTCAGAAAGATGGTACGCGTGCTGATGAATAAGATGTGAGTTAATTGTGCGTGTAGGATATGTTTGTAGGAAGTAGTCGATATATCTACGTATATCCAATCTCCTGCCTACTTATACAGGGTGTCCCATAAAGATCGTGCCAAACTTAAGAAGATAGAGTAATGGTCAATGGATGACTATTTAGACAAATAAATGAACTTAATAAATCATCATTGTTTTAGAGATTACTCTTTTTTTCTATTTTAAAAGAAAAAAAGTTAAGTTTGCTTAGAGATATTACTCTTTTTTCCCATTTTAAATATCTGTTTATAGGTATACTACAAGATATAGCCCCAAAACGGGAGATTTTTAAAATTGTGGATAAATAATCATATCTCTGAAACGGTGATTTTTTTTTATGCATAACAAGGCAGGTATTTGACCATAATCGCAAGTGATACTTTTTCTAAGATATTTTTTTTATTAAAATGGTCATCCATTAGTCTATATCCTTATGATTGGCACAGTCTTTATGGGACACTCTGTATAACAGTTGCTCTCATATCAGTTGCTGAGATCACACATTCCCATCAGTCTTGGATAATTGACGGATGATTGATCGTCTAATTTGCATGATGTGTGTATGAAATTAATGCAGGAGACGCATTTTTCAACTATTAGAAAATATATCATACAAGAATTTATGTATGCGGGTACCATTTTCTCACACATGCGTTCTTCGGTCTGCGATCAGGCCAAAGTCAACCAGCCCGCATTATGTATGAACTATTCCCCAAGAGAAGGAAGACCAATAATCCTACAAAAATAAATACATTCCATGCAAATCGCCATACTGATGACTGACCAGCCAATTATTAGGTCTAACGCTTAACTTAATCGTTGCTTGAGGTATGGAAGCAGGAGGGAGGGGTGGCATTGACATATTATGACGTAACAGAATAGAATAGTTTTTTATTTGAAAGAAAGACATACAAGCAGAAAAGACATAGGTACATAATGAAAGAGATACACAAATGGACAGATAGCTGCTTGTGCCCCTCTGACAAAAAGGCACCCGCTCAGCATACATCAAGACCGCGCCATGGCTTGTCTCGAAACTGATTTTCAGCGGACAACGAGCATACTCTCACTGATGTATGACTGACGTATGACTTCATTCTTTTTTTGAGATTTGGGCATTGTTTCTGAAGGAAACTTGCATTTTGAGCACTAAAATCAATCCTTTTTTTAACATCTTTGACGTTTATAAATGCTAAAATAGTACTAGTCAAAGTTGAATAAAATATTTTTGATTTGATTTGTACCGTACTTAATGCTACACCCTGTATAGATAGGGCTATGTTTGCTGTGGCTTGCCTCAGCTACAGCGAATGTTTCTGCCGTGATAGGCGTTGCTTTTTTCAATTAGTTTTTAGTTGTTTTGGGCTAAGATGGGCATTAGGATAGGTGTTCAGAACCCCGGTCGTGACGTCCACATAAACAGCGAATTATGTGGTACAGTCAACAAATAAAAAAGGATTTTTATTTATTTTTATGTTATGTCTAAAATATAAGGAATTCCTGTAGTAACAGGAAAAAACATGTAAAACACTGAGACAAAATGGCCACTAAGTTAATAAGCTAATTAAAAGTCTGTAGTTTGCGGGGAGAAATGTTTAATGTGTCTCCAATTTATTAGTAGAGATTTTTTTCTCATTGTGCTCTATTTAAGCGTTAATTTAGAGATCTGAAAACCTTTCACTAAAGTAATTTATTTAACTGTTTTCTCAAGAATGCTACTTTTATCCCAAAAACTCATAAAACTATTTTTATTTTGCACTAGCGGCCGCCCGCGACTTCGTACGCCTCGATCCCGTTTTACCCCC